AAAAAAAAAAAAAAATCGTTTTTTATACACAAAAGCAAAAAAAATGATGAAAAAGACAAGAAAAGGATTAACAACTTTTACGAAAGCCACTGTATACAAATTATAAGTTTAAAGAGCAGAAGAAAGTCTTGCACTGAAACGTTGCTTAGAGGCACCATTAACGAACAAAGGCTTGAAGCGGCAACTATACAATATTTGCTACAAGACTTTTTAAGCACACAGATATTTAAAAAAGTAGTTTCTGCCTTTTTTTTTTTCATTTTAGACAATGAGATATCATGGCTTACCATTTACACTAAATTGGAAGTGTGATTCCGAAAAAAGAAAAGGATATATTGAAGTAAGTTTATGACTATTTCAATGACAAAAACGTTTAACACCAGGAAACGCATCTAGACAGTTTGGAACGCTTCTTTACGGACAGCGGATTTACTGGATAAATTAACCGTCAGAAGCTGTTCAAAAAAATATATACCTTTGGCAAATACTGCAGTGATAAGCTTAAGGAAATAACCAAAGGTTATGAAAGTTTATAAAAAGACCAATTTTTAACAGCTTTTATTGAAACGCCGATTAACTTCCAAAACCCTTGTTTTTACGGGCTTAGAAAATTAGCGAATTGACGCTTCTGTACCAGCTCTCATCTTAATCGCATTAACCAATGGCAGATAAATGTAGGTCTCACTAAACTTTTGCGCCAGAGTATTTTGTTAAAGCTGTCCGTCCTCCAGAAAAAAATTATAACTTTTTCAGAGAAGCAACAGAACCAGAACCTCCTTGTTCTAAATTTTTAGAAATTTGAAGTAGTAGGTAGGAAATTCAAGTACAACTCTTTTCGGAAAAGCCAGTTACCGCGTAAAAAACCAATATTCTCAATTTACTCGCTCTTTTAGCGATTTTCTTGGAAACTAATGGGCCTTATCTGTTTAACTGACGTACAGAAGTATGCTGTGAGAGTATCAAATATGTAAAATACAACCTTCTTACAATGCTTTCCAACAGCTGTAAGATATACTTAAGACAAAAAACAAAAAGTTTTTAGTATTACATCATGATTTTTAAAATAATTCTTTTCACCTTCATCATTCATCTTTTCTCTAACTTTCAGATACTTAACGCAAGAAATAAAAAAAAAAAACGATTTCTTGCACACCGGTTTTCTATTATATGAATACTGCTTTCTTTAATGGGTGTTAAACAGATATTGACACCTTCACCAAAATTATGTAAAGCTTGTTGTTTAAAAATCGCAAAAAACAATACTCAAAATTCACAAAATTGTAGACTTACATAGAGGAAATTGGTGAGCTGACTATAGTTATGGTGCTTAAATTCTGTAGGTTCAATAAACTTTCCCATTTGCCTCTTGATCAGCTCGACATCGTCTATCCACCCTGCATTTTCAAATTTCTGTGCTAATTCCTATAAGTAGTTCAGCATTTGAACACAATATTGATAATATATTGAAGTGTTTGAAAAAAGTATTTCAAATAAATCACTTTGAAAGATGTCAGTATATCTCAAAAAAGAAAAAAAATTCCTTTTAAGGATTCATTTTTTTAAAATGTGTAACCTTTAAGCTAGATTTTTTGGTCCTCTTTCAGTTCGTTGACCCCATCTTCTTTATTAGTTGTAATGAAACATAACCACATTTATAACAATCAGAATTTATCGTCCTGATTGGCTGAAAGTAAAATGGGGCCGGAAAACTGAAAGAGCTCCGATTTTTTTATACCTGAATTTTTAGTTCTACTAAAACGATTAAGATCTAAATTTCATCCGGTTAGAAATGGTATTTATACCATCAACTTGGCCTGCTGCATGACTACACTTTTTTACTTCTGCTATTCTAACTTGCCTACTCGAAAAATAGCACATGACACATTTGCTACCTCAGGTTTGATGTCAACCAACTGATCAATAAAATAATCCAAACGACTTAATTAAGCAAAACAAATAAATAAGGAGAATCCAACATAAAAACAAATCAGCTACCTCGGTAGCTTGGTCGCATGACCCAAGAAGAAGTCGAACGAATACAAATGTTAGAAGTCGGTAAACAGACATATCACCTTAGCTTCATCTAAAAGCAATTCGAAATAAATGGTCATATATCAGAAACGACTAAATAGGCATGCAGATGATGACGTTACAACATCAAGCAAAAATTTGGAAATAAAGATGCAGAAAATCACGAGAAATGAACTTATCAAGAAATACAGATAAAAATGAATAAAAAAATGACCGAATTCAGCATTTAGTTGTTTTTGTTTGCTACACTACATAATGTTTGGGTTTTCCACATATATATTTGCATGATTCAACCTGATTACGTATTTCCAACTAATTTTTTTTTCTTCCTCCAACCCCTATCAGTCTGTCTAGATGGCCACAGCTAAAATTGTTTGGTTTTATTTAACTGCTAATTCATTCAGAATCATTAAATTCACAAATTCCCGCAATTAATGGTACTTTTGTTACTCTTATTTTAGTACGACCACGATGATAAGTAGATTAAAAAATATATTTAACTCATTTATCGAAGAACAGAATTCTAAACCAACATTAGCTATAAATAAAATAACACAAACTCAGGATAGACGCATAAAGTTTTCTCTTATTTTCATAAATCGATAAATGATTTATGGTTATAATTTAAAAATTTTACTATCTTTCATAAAATTTCCCAACGCATTTCTAAAAATAATTTTTTTTAAAAGTCAGCAAGAAAAACAGCGTAAGCTAAGAATTTGTGTAGTTAATTTATAATGTATAGAGTGATAACCAAATAACATGTAAGAAAACAAGCTGTTGATTGAGATTTCACAGTAGATCAAAATCCTAACCGACTTTGTACTCATCATTCCACTAAAAGAAAAATAAAATTTTGATTATTTTGAAGAATGAAAAATTCGCATTAATTTTCCACAACTTTCCTGAAAAAAACATGACAGTCGCGACTTCCTTGTCAGCAACTTTCTTTTTTAAAAACTGAATTCTACTATTTACTGTTTTAATTAACTACAACTTATTCCAATCAAATAATTACTACAGATTCTGCTCCGTTATTCTATTATTCTACTGTAAATTTATCATCAGTGTTATTTATATTACATTTGAAAAACTGACATTAATTAATTCAC